CGGCGCGCCCAAGGCGTTGGCGGGCGCGGACTTCACGCCGGGGGCCGTCGCGCGCGCGCGCGCGAAGCGCCGCGGGCCCCGGGGCGAGGGCCACGAGGCGGCGGCGGGCGCCCAGCCCGCGGCGCCGGCCGCGGCGCCGCGCCCGCCGGCGGCGGCCGCGTCGGCGCCGGCGGTAGCGGGCCGCGCCGTCGGTTGCCTCGCCGCCGCGGAGGCGCGCTACGTCGCCGCGGCGCGCCGTCGCGTCGCCGAGCCCGCGGCGCTCATGTTCCCCGAGCTCGAGGGCTACGAGGCGGCGGTGCCCTCGAAGCACGACGTCGCCTTCATGGTCGACGTCGCGCTCAAGGAGGTGCGCGCGGCGCTCGACGACGAGCCGAGCCTCGCGCCCGCGGTGCTGGGCCTCGTCGGCGGCGCGTGCGAGGCGTTCGCGGCGCGCTGCGGCCGCGCGCTGAAGCGCGTCCCGGCGGCGCGGTCGGCGGGCTTTAGGACGCTCGGGGCCGCCGTCGACGACGCCTGCCGCGGCGGCGTGTCGGCGGGCGACATGGTCGTGCCCGAGGTCGCGTGGCGCGCGTCGGCCGTCGAGGAGCGCGACGCGAGGCTCGTCGCGTGCGCGGCGACGCTGCGGCGCCAGGCCGGCGACCGCCTCGGGGCTTTGGGCGTCGCCGGCGGCGCCGACGCGCTGGCGCCGGGCCTCGCGGCGCTCGACGGCCTCGGGGAGGCCGTCGCGTTCCGCGGCGTCGACGCCGCGAGTTACCGCGTCGCCGTCGAGCTCGCGGCGTACGCGGACGACGGCGCGCTCGGCGCCTTGGACGCGCCGGCGTCGCCGGCGCTCGTGCGCGCGCTGGCGGCGCTGAGCGGCCTGCGCAACGGCTACTTCGCGGCGCTGCCGTGCTGGCCGTCGCCCGCGACGGAGAGCCCGCCGTGCCGCGCGGCGCTGCCGCGCCTCGCGGCGCGCGTCGCGCGCGCGTTCGTGTCCCAGGCGGCGCTGCTGCGGGATGTAGACGATGCGGGCCGCGCGGCCCTCGCGCGCGACGTGTCGCGCCTCGACGACGCGCTCGTGGACTACGAGCCCGAGGCCCTGCCCGCGGAGGCGCCGCGGCGCGAGAACGGCCGCGCGCTCGCGGACGAGCGCGAGGCCGTCGTCGACCTGCGCCGCGCGCGCGGCGAGCTCGCCCTGCTCAAGCGCCTCCTCTTCGCGGAGCCGCGGGCGGGCGAGCCCCGGCCCAGGGCGATCCTCCGCGAGGGCCGCGCGTTGCTCGCGGGCGCCGCGGACGGCCGCGACGGTCGCGCGGGCCTCCGGCCGTCGACGGTCTGGCACCACTGCCTCGCGGCCTGCGGCCACGCCCTCATCCCTTTGCCGGATGCGCTCCACGACGCCGGCGACGGCGGCGACGACCCGGCGCCGCCCGCGGCGCGCGCGCGCGCGCTCTACGCCGCGCGCCTCGCGGACGGCGCCTTCGACGACGCGCGCGCGGACGCCGACGGCGCCCGCGTCGACCGCGAGCGCGAGGCCTGGCTCGACGTCCTGCGCTGCCTCGACACCTGGGCCCAGCGCGCGTCCGCGTCCGGCGTGAGCTCCCTCGGCGACGTCTACGACGCCATCCACCAGGACGGCGAGGTCCTCTTCGACGAGTACAAGGCGGCGCTCCTCGCCGCGGGGAAGTAGGGTACCTTATTAATAGCAGCAGCCGCTAAGGGGGCAAACGCTTGTTATCTAGGAGACTGGAGTTGTGGCGTGCGGGCTAGTCAGTCCGAGTTCGTGTTAGCTACGACGTCACTGCTAGTAAGCAGATTTATTTATTCTTGGCCTTCGCCTCGGCCATCTCCGCCTCGAGGAGCCTCGCCGACTCAGGAAAAGTCTTGACGCCCTGGCTGCGATGACGAAGCCATAGATTCATGAAAGCGACCATCTCGCAGCGGGGATTCCGAACTTTAGCCGCGGCCGCGATCGTCAATGGCGTCATCCCGGCGTCGAGCGAAACTCCTTCAGCCAGGGGAAGCAGGCTGTTTTCACGGGTAGCGTCCTTGCTCGTCTTGGCGTTCATATCGGCCCCGCGTAAGATCAGGGTTGAGAGGCATTGAACCAGCCTGAATCGCTGAATTCCGTCCCCCGTTCTTGTGGTCGTATAATACCTAGGAACAGGCTCGGTGGGACGGATTTCAGGGTCTGGACGCCGCTCGGCGCACACTACGACGTGCAACGGCGTAATTCCGATCTCATCTTTCTGATTCACGTCTGCCCCTTGATCGAGAAATTCCTCGATCGAGTACTCGTGCATCCAGTGCAGTTTGATATAGTTCAGGAAGTTGGATGTGAAATCATGCGGTCGTTCCCGGAGGACTAAGCGAACGATGGGATCGGCGCGACATATATCTTCGGTATCGGCATTCAGCGCGTATTGAAGGGGGTCATTGAAAGACGTCGGGCCGAAATGTGTTGTGCGGGTCATGGCGCCGCGCGCGAGGAGAAGGGCCACGATATCATAGTTGAGCTTGAACGCCGCGACTTTGAGCGCATTTTTATGGCCAGGCAATGCCGCTTCAAGATCGACGTCTGGCTGCTCTAAGACGACCTTCACAGTGGCCAAGTCGTCGCTAAGCACGGCAGAAACGAGGACCGGATCCGATCCTTCTATCACGTGCGCCAACGAAAACGTCTCGAAGAGTACTTCGAGGGTGCCCGCAAAGCCTCCGATGGCGGCCATAGAAAGTGCATCCGAGCGTCTCTCGCGCACGCTCGCGCAGATGTTCTCGTCGCGCAACAGCGCACGTACAGCATCGGGTTGGCCCTCCCTGCACGCGTACTCGAGGTAGCTTGCGCCCCCAATCTCGCCGTCGAGAGGCACACCGTGGCATCGCAGGATATCGATCGCACCGCCGCTGCCTACTCTGATTGCTTCAAGGATGACCCGAAATGCTTCGTACTGACGGCCAATTGGAGCGTCGGTTGCGAACTTGGACAGGAAGCCTTCCAGCGAGCCATTTGATAGAAGGAGCTCGAGGCAGCGCAGATGGCCTTCCGCGATGGCTATGCGCGCCGCTTCGTCGACAAAGATGCCAACGCTGGAACGCATCACCTCGGCGACAACTTCATCGCGGCCAGACTTGCAAGCGAGAGTAAGGAGGACTTGCATTTGAATGCGCCAGCGCGTTGCCTTCGCGCTCGGGTCTGTCGTCTCTTCGGCGTCAGTCGAACGCCACAGAGCAGAGAGCATTCGAATCGGCTTGGAAAGCAGCTGCAGTGACTTAGAAGGAAGTGCTTGCGTCGGAGCGTGAGACGTGATGAAACTGCGGACGCCAACGACGTCGCCGTCGATGGCCGCGAGCACTGCCAGGTCCATGGGTGCCGTTTTGATAGCAATGAACTCGCGCGACCAGCCTTCAATATTTCTCCAAATGTTCCGGTGCTGGACAAAGACGCCTGGTGACGATCGCAACGCGCACAACAGATCGGCGCGCTCGGTCGGAGTCGTATTTGCCGCCATCGCCTTCTCGAGCGAGTGGCACGTCGCACGCACCGCGTCCCATCCCCTGGGCTTGTCAGCAGAGCGTCGGACGTTATCGTAGGAAGCCCAGAGGAGGCCGATCGCGACTGGATTCTTGGCTATGATCGCGTGGTCCAACGCCGTGCATCGCGCGTCCGAACGGGTTGAGATGCTCTTGCCCGGTTCGCCGACGACGTAGGACAGCGGGTGCTGCATGTACGCCAAGATCTCGCGCACGATGGCGTTGCGGTTGTCACTGATTGCGTACGCGAGGAGGATGGCCGCCGCCGAGGGTTGTTCCTCGACGAGGCGGAGGTGACCAGACATGGTTTCGATCTCCGCGTCGTCGACTTTGACAACGACCTTGTCCTCGACGAGCCGGACGATCTCACCGCGAGCCCAGGTGATTTCAGCGCGCGGAGGCGTCGGATCACCCTCGGCGTAGTCGATTGGGTCACCCGGGGCGAGCGCGTGGACCCGCTCCTTGGTCAGCAAACTCTGGACGGCCTGCGACACGCGCTGCTTGCCGACCTCGCTGGCTTCGCCATCGCGGGGTGTCGCAAGAGCGTCGAGAACCGCGAGCACCACGGAGTAGGGGCCGTTCGCTCCATGAAAGACGTCGCCGTACTGGCGAATCACTAAGCTCTCGAACGTCGAGCTCGTGCGATCCGTGAAGCACCCGAGATGGTCGAGGAACGGCGCCTCGGCAGAAAAACAGGTGGCCGCATCACGAGCGAGCGAGGCGATGCCGAAACCGAAGAAAGCAGGCCAGAGGTACTCGTGGCATGCGATGCGCGCGACGTCGTCAACCCGCACATCGCCCACGCGATTATCGAATTGAGAACTATGCTCCAGACCCTTGGCCTTGAAAACGCCGACGATTGGAAGAAGAACGCCACTCTGGACCTCCTGCAAGACGGCGTGGGCCGCCGTGGAGAGGCCAGCGGGGCCGCAAACTTCCTGGAGGAAAACTTCTTCAGGCAGCCCCAGGAAGAGGTGATGCGACATCGCTTTCCAGAAATGGACCACGAGGTGCCGCATGGATGCCTCGTCGAGGACCGCCGACGCCCGCGCGGAATCTTTCATCGCCTTGGCGAGCTGCGCTTGCGTGCCGTAAAATTGCGTGGAGGGCCGCAGCCCCTGGCGGCGAGCAGCGAGCACGACGCGTCGTGGAGTCATGAGCTCGCCCCCCATCGCTTCGACGAGCTTTTCGGCGCCTGCCGGCGCGACCGCGGCCGCCCGTTGCGTCTCCACCTCACTCAGGTTCTCCGTGAGCCGGGCCTTGAGGCTCGTCAGCGCGGCTTGATCCGCGTTGCGTTGGGCTACGGCTCGGTCTCCGAGCTCGACATTGAAGCACCCCATAGACAGCAGCGCCGCACGCCGACGCTCCGCGGCAGCGATCGCGCAGGCGTTCCGCGCGGCGTCCACATCCGCGCCGCGTGAGCCTTGTACCAAGGCCGGCGCGCGCGGGCGAGGAGATGGCATGAGCGCGAGGTCGTCACGGTAGATGACATCGCTCGCGGACCGCCCGCAAGCGTTGAACGAGAAGCAGAAGTGCGTATGGATGTCGAACACGCCCTCGCGCCGCGCCTGGAACAGCTCGCCGCGCGCCGCAGTCTTGACGGCGACAATGATGGCCTTTTCTTTCGAGACGTCGAGCTCGATGTGCGCACCGCGGACGATGCGCCACGCGCGCGGGCAGAGCTCCTCGAGTCGAAGCACGTTGCGGTAGCCGGCGAAGGCGAGGATCGCGGTCACGTTGTGGCCGTCCTCGAGCACGCGCGTGAAGCAGACCTCCGCCTTCGAGCAGGACCGGGGCCGCTTGAGCGCCGCCGACGCCTCGGGCGCCGACGCGCTCTCGTCGCCGCGGAGCGCCTCGTCGTCGTCGCCCCGGAGAGGGGCGGTCGCGCCGGGCTCGTCGGGCGACGCCTCGCGCCGCGAGAGCGATGCGCCCATGACGAGCGAACGAGCCGGGGCGAGCCGGAGAGTCCTGTGCGCTTAGCGGGAGGTCGTGGCGTGCGGATGCGGGGCGAGGTCAAGCGTCTGCGCTTAGCGGGAGGTCGTGGCGTGCGGATGCGGGGCGAGGTCAAGCGTCTCGTCGCGCGACGAAGGCGCGGATGCGGGGCGAGGTCAAGCGTTTGCGTCGCGCGAAGGCGTACGTGAGGTCCTCGCAGGTGAGGTGCAAGGCCTTCAAGTTTGGGTGCTTGCCTCGCATCCAGCGCCTCCGTGCGCCGAGATGGAGCTGCCCCGGAGAGCCCAAGGCTGCCTCATCCGCTAGAGAGAGAGCATCGCAGCCATGCAGCGCCGCGGCCCGGCCAAGCTCTTCGACGGGAGCCGGCGGCGGCGCGCGGGCTTCAGCGGCAAGGACGGCGCGGCCTACGATGAGGCCGAGGTCGAGCGCGAGAAGGAGAACGCGCGCGAGATGGCTGCGCGGCTCCACGACGAGTTCCGCCGCCCCCAGCGCAAGCGGCCGCGGCGCACGATCACAGCACCGGAACGCACGGAGGGCGTGCACCGCGAGTTCGAGGCTGGCGGCAGCGCGACGACCGAGGGCGCCGTGGTGGTCCCGAACCGCGCGTCCGACGTCGCGGCGCGCGACGCGCTCGACGCCGCGGGCGTCGCGGTCGCGCGGACGCGCCGCGGCAAGCACCACGACGTCATTCGCCTGCTCCAGCGGCGCGGCCTGGCCCTCGCGCGGTGCACGGAGGCCGAGCGCGGGACCCGGCGCCTCGTCGTCGCGGCGGTGGACAACGACGGCCTCGCGCTCGAGTTCGCGAGCGCGGCGCTCCGCGACGACTTCGACGTCGTCCTCCGCGCCGTCGAGGGCGCGGGCGAGGCGCTCCAGTTCGCGAGCCAGCGGCTCCGGTCCGACCGCGCCGTCGTGTCGGCCGCCGCGCACGAAACTCCAAAAGCGCTGCGCCACGCGTTCTGGGCCGCGCGCGGCGACGGCCACTTCATGCGCGGCCTGCTGCGGTTCCGGGGCATCCTGCTCGAGTTCGCGTCCGACGCGCTGCGGGCGGACCGCGACACGGTGCTCATCGCCGTGACGCAGGACGGCGCGGCGCTCCAGCACGCGTCGCGCGAGCTGCGCAGGGACCGCGACTTCGTGCTCGTCGCGCTCGCGGGCAGCCCCGGCGCGCTGCGCCACGCGGCGCGGGCCCTCCGCGAGGACCGGGCCTTCGCCTACGCGGCGCTCAAATTAGGCGGCGAGGCCTTCGAGTTCGTGTCGGACCGGCTGAGGGCGGACAAGGCCGTGGTCCTGGAGGCGTGCGCGGCGCGCGGCGCGAACCTGGCCCACGCCGTGCCGGCCCTGCGCCGCGACGAGGACTGCGTGCTCGCCGCGGTGAAGAGCGACGGCGACGCGCTCGCGCACGCGCCGCCGGCGGGGCAGGACAAGGGTGATTCAACGTCGCTTCAACGTGAGTGTTCCGCGCGCGCGCGTTCCGGAAAAAGCATCCACGCGTCGAGACCGTTCCGAGAGATGATCGCTTGTCCAAAAATCAGCCGAAACGAGCGGAAACTGGCCGAGCTAGGAGCCTTTGAAGTTGGGAATTTCGCACTCTTGTCCTGCCCAGGCCGCCGGCGCTCCGGGCGAATCGCGCGTTCGTCTTGAAATGCGTCCGCGCGAAGTCGAAGAACTGGCACGCGCTCAAGCACGCGAGCAAGGCCCTGAGGCGCGACCGGGCCGTCGTCCTCGCGGCCGTGCGGACGTCCGGCGCGGCGCTCATGCACGCGCCGAAGAAGTTCTGCGGCGACAAGGAGATCGTCCTGGCCGCGCTGTCGAGCCCCCTCGCGCAGCCCTACGTCTCCAAGAAGCTCGCCCGGGACAAGGAGCTCGCCTTCCGCGCGCGCCAGGCCAACGGCGACGCCCTCGCCTGGGGCCTCGGCCTCTACGACCTCACGCGCGCGCCCGTGCCCAAGCCCGAGCCGGGGCCGGACGTCCCGCGGCCGCGCTGGTCCACGGCCGTGAAGACGCGCTTCGACTTCAACCGGCGGCGCGTGTACGCGGCGTGAGTTCGTAGTATATGGAGGGGTGCTGTGGCGGCGTGGAGGGACGGCGTAGGCATCCTAGTCTGGTCCATTGACTCTGGAGCCCGCGCCGACTCTTTGCCATCACCCCCGCCCTCGCGCCGCGTAGATCACGGAAATCAACGACGCCGTCTACGCGTCCCCCCACCGATAACATGAACCCCGAGATCCTCCAGAAAAAGCTTGAATACGAGAAGCGCAAAGCCAGGGCCAAAGAGTTCAAGGCCCGCCTGACCTGCACGATCTGCGGCGAGAAGGCCAAGCTCAACTGCCCCTGCGAGACGACACAGTGCGCGCCCGGCGCGCGTGAACGGGTCGGGGGCGGCGCGCTCACACGCGACGCGACCCCGCAGGTACTGCTCGACGGATTGTCAACGCGTCGACTGGCGCGACCGCGGACACCGCGCGGTGTGTAAGAAGATCCGGGGCGAGCGCGCGGCGGAGGCGGCGCGGGCGCAGGCGCCGCCGCCGCCGCCGTCGCCCCCCAAGGAGGTCTTCTACGGCCCCGCGCCGCGTTCGCACGCCGACGAGGTCCGCGCGCGCATCGCCGCCGAACACGAGGCCGCACGCGTGCGGCGCGAGGCGAACCCGGAGCGGCAACCGGATTCGGCGCGGTTCGGATCGCGATGCCCGATCTGCTTCGATGATTGGGACATTAACGCGGTGGGGAGGATTAGGATTCGCTTCTGTTGCTGCCGCTTGGTCTGCCGTTCGTGCGATGAGAAGATCGTCGGCAAGCCATGTCCTCTGTGTCGAGCACCAGACTTTAAATCTAATGCGGAGAGACTTGCAGCCCTTCGTCGCCACGTGAACAACGACATGCCGGAGGCGGTCAAGCATCTAGGGAGTGCGTATGAACACGGCGATCAGGCACTCGGCATCGTGAAATCCGCGAAGAAGGCTGTGAAGCTCTACAAGCGCGCCGTGGAGCTCGGGGACGTACAGGCGATGGTGAATCTTGGAGGTTACTATGGTGGATGGAACCCTGGCCCTGGTGTCAAGGTGGATAAGAAGAAGGCGATGCAGCTGTTACGCATGGCAGCCGATCGGGGCTCCCCGCAAGGACAAAGCAATCTCGCGGCGGCACTTATGCAAAATAATGAACACGAAGAGGCCGTCCACTGGTTCAGGCGTGCTGCACAACAGGGCTTCGCGGTCGCGCAAGTCAATCTTGCAGTATGCTACGCAAATGGCATCACTGTGGACCGCGACCTCGACGAAGCCAAGCGGCTTTGCGCGCTCGCGGCCGCCGCGGGCAACCAAGAGGCTCGCGCCATGCTAGCGCAGCTAAACGCGTAATCGTTCTCTAAATTAGTACTAATGGAACCCGGGCCCGTAGGGCGTCCGCCGCCCCGCGGAGGTTCCGAACGCGGGGCGCGCGACGATTCTCCGCGCGGTCCGCGGGACCCGTCGGCCCGCGTGGATCTCCGCGTACGTCGTCGGCCGCCGGCGCGGCACCGCCGGCGCGGCGGGCGTGCGCAGGGGCGTCCAGTCGTTGCGCGTCGGCCAGGCGACGGGCGCCCGCGGCGGCGCGGGCGTGCGCGGCGGCGCGGCGCGCGGTCCGTCGTTGTCGGCCTCGACGACGACCGTCTCCGCCGCGCGGCGCGTGTCCCGGGCCCGCTCCCGCGCCGACAGGAGCGCCGCGTCCGCCTGGGCGCGCGCGATCTGCTCCTCCGCGACGTAGGCCGCCTCCGCGCGCGCGTCCCGCAGATCCGCCTCCGCGGCTTCGCGGAACCGCCGCTCCGCCGCGAGCCGCGCGATCGCCGCGCGCGACACGGTCGCGACCTCCGCGGCCGCGGCGTCGCGCGCGCGCCGCCGGTCGGCCTCGGCGGCC